GCCTTCTCTGCTGTCAGGTGTGGCCCTCTGATCACCTTCTCCCCAGGAAAGGGAGCCCCATTTGGGCCAGGCTGCTCTCCTCGGCAGCCATTCCCTCTGTGACTGCATGGAGATGACAAGCCCCCTGGACTCAGTGCCAGCACATCTCAGCACTCACCCTGGATTCCTCCATGTGCAAGCAAGAAACTGCCACTGGGTTTGAGCCGTTGCACTCTTGGGTCTATTACAGCAGTTTAGCCTAACTTAACTTAGACAACATGTATGTAATGGAAAATCCCGAAGGAACAAAAGGATAGGTAGCCAGTAAGTATTTTTAGTGCAAAGTACAAGTTGCTAAACAAGTTATTACATTATTAGAGAACATGTTTCAAAACTGGCATTTAGGGTGGGTGGAAAAAGAAAGTTTTCTGAGATACAAGAAAACTGTCCACGAGCATTAGGGAAAATACTTATTTTTTTGTCCCCAAACAAGCACTCCACAAAGCGTTCTCGCCTTTTCTAAGGGGCCAATCATGAACAGATTTGTGTGCTTCTAGGGCTGAGGGTCTGAGATAATACCAAATATTAATATAAAATATTAATAGTGCTGTGTCAAGCTGTATGAGAGCATGATGCAGAAGGAAAAATCAGTAACATTGATCCTGATCCTGTCTTTATTTAAAATTTTAATACTTTGGTTCTTCATGGATATTTTGCATTAATTCTGACTTTTTAAAATATTACACTAAAATATTATTTATCTTAATGACTGATTTTTTTGGAGCCCCATTAAATTTTTGTGCCCACAACCTTACTTACCTTACCCTGACCCCAGCTCTGAGGGAATAGTTCCAAATGTCATGATTTGCGGTAATAATTCAAAATGACAAAACTGTACTCAATATTACATTTTGTTCTTGAAAAACATAAAACAAAACAACTGAACTCTATTATGAAATTTCAAGCAAGCTTAAAGATTTAGAAAAAGGGACAAGGATGAAAACTTTTGAGAAAGACTGACAAAACAAAGATGATGACACAAAGAAAACTGTTGTTATTTATAAGAAGAAAAAAAAAAAAACCACTCCTGCTGCTTGGGGTGAGCTGTTGGCCTTAGACCAGAGCCTTCTGCTAGAGTCAGCTCTGTGGGGGCTTCATTAGAGCCCCATATCCCAGATTAGCACTTGGTATCCTATCGAAGTGGGGAAGCCAGACAGGGTTTCCCCACTACAAAAGAACCACCAGAATGACAAGAGAGATGGAAAATGGGACTTTGGGAAAAAAGGGCTGGAACTGTTTCTTCCCCAAGAAACAGTTTAAAAGGGTGAGGCATTAGCTGTCCTCAAGCATATGCCCAAATAATTATCAGCAATGTACTTGGTTTATTCTAGCTGCACAGGACAGAATACAAAATACACTTGAACCTAAACAAGAGGAGCCTGGCTAGACAAAAAGAAGAAAAACGACTTGGATGCAAGCCCACATTCAAGCCTGAAGCAGGCTGTGGCAAGCCACCCCTGGTGGTCTCTCTAGCCGAACACAGCAGGACTGTGGCAGGGGCTGTCCTGGCGGCCTTCAGTGTCCTGACAGTGGGGAGAGGGCAGGAATGTTCTCTTTACATCATACGAAGATGCACACAATTGGCCACCACTAGCAAACAATGAGCCTCTTGTCCCAGCTCCCACACACCCCCAATCATTTTCAAAATCATTTCAAAACCTGCAAACCCCAGGAGTGGTTCCAAAGTTGCTCTTTAATTTAAGAGATTAAAAATAGGGGAAATCGGTGGGGAGGTGGGGAGATTTTTGCTCAACTTTTTCTATAAATCTAAAACTGCTCCAAAAAAAGTTTATTAAATTAATAAAAAAATTCATAACCCACCTTTAATTGATTTATCATTGAAATAATCTTCTAGCCCTGGGCTCCCTTGGGTATCAAACAAACTCTGATTTACTACAGAGACAGTTAGGATCTCTTCCGTTGACATTTCCATCAATTCATCTTCACCATCCAAACTTGACAAACCAATCAAATCATTATTGTTAAATAAACTTGCTCGAATTTTCTCAATTTTGGCTCGGGATCTTATCTGTGTGAAAAAAGCAAAGGGTCAGGACTTGAATAGAAAGTGACCAGTCATTCAATATGAATGAGCTTTCCCCTTCCCACCTTTCACTGGAAACCCTCTACTCATATTCAGAGTTGCAAGAGCCGCCCTGCCCTATGTGGGTGAGTGGGCCTTCCTGGAAAATTTTCTCCCATGTGCCAACAATGGCGAATTTTAGGGGAACGACTCAACTGGACATCCCTGTTGCTAAACTCTGGCCAGCTCTGTGGGTTTACTCTAATACCCAGGGAGTTCAAGTCCATGCCTGGCTCTGAGGAAGTCTCCAGGAAGGAGGCCGATGGATTAAAAGAAGTGATTCTAGGAAAGAAATCGCCCACTGGGAGAGCAAGGCAACCCAAGTTCTCTTCCAGTGCTCTGCTCTACATATCTAAGGGGAAAGACAGTTTTTACTTTTGAGCCTAATTCCTATTATGCAAAGGTACAGGAAGACATATGACACAGGATTTCTAAACAAGGAGGTATGGGAAACACATTGGATCCTAAGGTGGAAACATGATTTGGCAACATGCACATCACCTGAGACTCAGAGTAGCCAGGAACAGAGTGACAAGGATCTATTCCCACACTGTTCCGTGAAGCTCCCTCCTGCCAATGGCAATGAAGAAAACTACCCGAGGCCACTCAGAAATATACAGATGGGGTCATGGGCCAGGATGCACTTGACAAAACCACCCACCATAAAGAGCAGCTTCCTGAGGTGCCCTACAGTGGTCAGTGATGAAGTGCATTTACTTCATGGCATTGGACTTGATATCACTCTGATGTGACCTCAAATAGAATCATCCTGCTGTTTCCAAGGGCTGCCCAGGGATCCCCCAGTTGCTCCAACATTACCTATTAGCTAACCTCTTAGAAATAACTTTGAAAGGTTTAAAGAGGCCTGGCAGAATCAACTTGGTCATGATTTTAGTGGCTGCCAAGGCTCAGAGCTATTACCTCCACAACCGCAAAGCCTTTGATGGGGCGTGCTGCGAGGGGCTGATTGTCCAGGGACGTGACTGTGTACATGGAGCCCATATCCGACACTGAGGCCGTCTCGGCATTGTCCAGGGGCTCCCCCAGGCTGCCCAGGCTGCCTAGGCTGCCAGTGCTGCACAGGGAGATGTCCAGGCTCTCCTGGCTGGACACCACATGGGGTTCCAGCAAGCTGGGAGGGATGGGCAGCTCGAGGCCTGAGGGCAAGGGGTCTGCGGAGAGGTCGCTGATGGTGTGCGAGATGCCCTGGGAGCTGCAGATGGAGGCCTGACTGGTGGAGGCTGAGGCGCTGACGCTTGGGGCAGGGGTCAGGCTGCTTGACGTGCTGACCTCCAGACTGTCCGTGTCAGGGAGGCCCAGGGTCTTCTCCAGCTCCACTTTGCTGTCCCCGCCCTCAGCCTTGTCTTTTGGCTTCTTGGGGTCTTCCTCCTGGAGTGGAATATAGATCTCATCTTTGAAGACCCCGCCATGGGCATTGCAGGCCTTGCGGATGGCACCTCTGACGATGCCCTCGTCCAGGTGGGTGGGGATTCCGGAGATCACCAGCAAGCGGCTATGGGCAGTGGGGCCCACCAGGGCCTGGCAGGCATCAGCAATGGCATCGCTTGTCACTCCCAGCCCCTGTGGGTCCTTCCTGGTGAGGTGCCGGAGAATGATAAGCAAGGTGAGTGCGCGGTGGAACCAGAGCATGTCCTCGGGCTTGCCACCCCCGATGCTGAGCATGGTGGGGTCTGTTTCTGCCACGTGGGAGGACTGGCGCTTTCCTGAAGACGAGGCCTTCTCCCGCTTCATCTTGACTTTCTTCCTCTTGGACAGGAGGCTAGGGCTTTGTGGTGTCTGTCCTGGGGAGGACGAGGAGGAGGAGGACGAGTCACTGAGGTTCGGGGCAGTTGTTGAGGTCACCCCACTGGCTGTGACACTCATGTTGGTAGGCAGGGTCACTTCAGCAACAGCCAGGCACCCTTCCATGAGTGCATGAAAATATGTGGAGAACCTGCCCTGGTCACTGGTAGCCGCTGCCCCTGAGCCCCCACAGGTGCTGCCTGACACCCAGCTCTGGGTCTCTTCATCGTATAGCTTATGGAGCTCAGACTGCAAGGCCATCAGCATGGCCAGACAGGGGTTCAGCTGGAGGGTGATGGAGGAGGACAGGCCAGCAGGGTGCCTCCTCTGCTCCAGGGTGTGTACCGTGCGCAGCAGCTCTGCCAGAAGGTGGAAAACAAGCTCCTTCACGCAGGCCGCCATGTCTGTGGTCCATAGGAAGTTTCCTGAAGCAAATGTAAAATAACAATAACAGCAATCATTCACGTGGTGCTTATTCTGGGCCAGCACTGTTCTAAGCACTTTAACAGATTCAGTCCTCATAAGGACCCTGTAATAGCTACGGTGTTATCCATCCCCATCTTACAGATGGAGAAACAAAGAGCTGCAGAGCCAGCCTGAGGTTACAGCTACTAGAGGGACAGCTAGGCGTCAGGGCTGGCAGGCTGCCCTAGGGGCTGTGGCCTTAAGTCCTGGGCCACATGACAGTGTGCCAGCCTGCTTCTGGCTGGAGCTCCAAATGTCATTATGTTCGTCTCATTAGGTTATCAAGCAAGTTAGTGACAAGTCACTAGAACAATCTTTCCCAGAGCACGGGATGCTTATGATTGGGGGCACACAATCCAATCTTAGCAAGCAGTACAGAAAATGATTTCTTCATAAATTCTCTTTTAGTCCTGATTTTGTCAATAAGAAAGCCCTCCATTGGAGCTGGTATATTCTTAATGGAGAGTGGGCCATAGACCCAGAGCCTTTGAAAGGCAACAGTATTTACCAGAATTTTGTAACAGCAACTATTTACTTTCCTTGTATTTATTTTTATAGTTACTTTCTAGGTAAGGCAAGGTATATTAATTTTCTATTTAGAGTAGTGATGTAAAGATTTCTTTAAAACTAAATTTAAGTTTAAAAAAAGGAGAAAAGGGGGCCGGCCCGTGGCTCACTCGGGTGAGTGTGGTTCTGATGATGCCAAGGCCACGGGTTCAGATCCCATATAGGAATGACCAGTTAGCTCACTGGGTGAGCATGGTGCTGACAACACCAAGTCAAGGGTTAAGATCCCCTTACTGGTCATCTTTAAAAAAAAAAAAATAATAATAATAATAAATAAATAAATAAATAATAAAAAAAGGAGAAAAGAATCAATTGCAATAAAAATGATTAAGTAAATAAGTGCTGATAGTCA